CATATACTCAAATTTAAAACGAGTCGGGTTGGTGCTCTTTCATATGCGTATTTTTTTTTAATTTAGCGCGTTTTTTTTTCTAAAATTTTTTTCCCTCAGTGTTGGAATGTGAGTTTATGACATTCGATACGATACTAGGGTTCTGGTACTCGATTCCAAAAAATATCGTTATCGTATCGAAATTCGTGTCCCTAGTGCTAAGTAAGCAAGTGAAAGGCAAAGTCGGCTCTCGTCGGGCACACTATAACTCGAGTAAATGGGCCAAATCGCACAGAAATCACGCAAAATTCCATGTAACAGTATTTTTTTAAATATAATAACTGCCATATTTCATTAACTGCTGATTCTAATGGGCGGTGCGTCTGACTCGCGAGTCAACTGTGTACGTGTTGACTCGCCTTTCGACTACATACAATTGGGTCATTCAGAGTCATACCAGAGACATGTCGGTGTAACTAAGCCATATTTATTTTTACTCGTCCATCTCCAATATGTCAGTATTTTTGGAAAACTACGATATTTCACGAAGTAATGAAATTTAACTGCTTAAATTTTTAGAATAATGAAAATCAGATTTTTTGAAGAAAGGATGTGAACACGCGCACTTTTTAGTCATTGTACACTACATATGTATAACCACCTGTTTAATGTCAATTTTCCGAAATGCGCAAAACTGTGCATTTGATGCATTCATACGCCGGGTATAAAAAGTTCGGTTTCGCCCAAACTTAGACTTTACATGTTTTTGTTTTGTATTTTTTTTTAATATTGTTGTCCAAAATACATATATGTATGTGCATTACATACATACATATGTACGTACATACATACATACATACAGCTCAATGGCCAAGTTTTTAAACTAGCCATATTACCGACAAAACTATTGTAAGAAAAAAATGTGAAGGGAATGTAATTTTAGCGCCAGATCCTCCGTGTTGCCAATAAGGGCGTTTCTTAAAACTATATTGCATTGCGACCGATATCGAGCGCTCCATGTTTTGGTCGGTGCAATATTTTAGCAGATCATCGACTAATTGCAGATGTTCAGTTATGCAGCGAATGAAGTTTACTTTTATGCTCACGATCGATTTTCCAGCATTAGTTGTACAGTCATACGAGGAAGAATTGATTAATTCAGCTTTAGCACATTCAATTAATGGACTGTCAAAATGGGAGATGAAATAGCGGTTTGAATTTTCATCAACGAATCGAAATATGGCAAATGGTTTTCCAACTTTCATGACTGCATCACGATATTTAATGGCTATATCGCGCGGATATTGGCCAACACAAACACGCTCCATCGTCATACTTTTAAGTTTTTCGCACCGAGTTGGCAATGGTTCAGTTATTTTACCAGCAATTGCCGCAATAGCCAGTGGTACAAGGAAATATAAAATTTTGAAGAAAAACATGTTTATTTGTTATTTTATTGCATATTTGAAATTATATCAGGTGAAGTATGTAATAAAACGATTTGACACTGTCTTAGAACTTTTTGAGGCCAACTTTACATGAGGTACTTTTTCCTAGACGATATCGTCTAAAAAATCTATCGAAAATTTACTCGAACGACAAAGTAACCAAGACCTCCAATGTGCAATGGTTCAGCATGTTTTCCAATATAATTTAGTCGCGCCTTAGTGCAGTTTGGTTGCCATTACAGACGCGTGTTATCTTTTGCACGGACGAATGGACAGACAGACAAGCTTAATCGATTTCTCTGTTTGTTTTAAGGTTTGCTAGGGGATAATGTATGTAGAGGAGGCAACTTGTTTTGAAAATAATTGCTTGTATTTGTAAAATAACAAATGAATGTAAAATATTTTGTTACGTCCGAGAAAATCAGTGTTGTATGCAGGGTTGCCAGAGTACATACTACTTATGTGTGTTTCAATGTACTTTACTTACACTTAGGGCCAGCTACTCAATGTGTGATTAACATTAACTAGGGGTTAAACAACGTTATTCACATTGTAGGCTCCCTGTTATATGTTGTGGAGTCGATCACGCCGATTACGATGTTTAACCTGCAGTTAGTGTCAACTTCACTTTGAGAATCTTATTGTACTTTTACAGATAGGGGTTTGAACAGAAAAATTTTAAATAAAAATTTTTCTTTACTTACTAGCCAGCCTCGTATGCGCAAGACTTCGACACGCGCTGAATGGGTACATAAGTATGTACATACATGCACTTGAAGAAATCAGGCAACCCTATCCAACAAAAAAAATAAAGCCTTATTGGACACCTAATGGTCAAGCCCTCTCATTTGACATCTTATGCGTTTTATTGCAACGAATGGTGTGGATCTTATAATTATTTAGACAGGCGGCAACTTAATTATTAAAATTAAATAAAACTTTATTGCACATCTGAAGGCCAAGCGCTTTCCTTTCAGATCTCGTTCTTTTTTTCTTCTTCTTTTAACTGTGCAAATCTGATGTATGTTATTAACAAAAATGCCTTCAAGTATTATATGTAAGGTAGTAATTTTTAAATAGGTGGCAACTCTACCAAAACAAAAATAAAAGTGTCCATATTCCTACACTTGGTACCTCATTGGTTAGTCCAATGAACGGTTAATAACTTATAATTTATAAAAAGGTGGCAGCCCTACTAAAAAAATATCACAACCGAGGCCATCACCTACAGGCCAAGCCCTTTAATTTGACATCTCTAGTTTAGTAATACAAGAAACGGATCTTATAATTTTTTTAGACAGGTGGAAACCCTATGCAAATTCTAAAACCAAAGGTCAATCTCCTATCTATACAGAATATATTAGGAAAAATCGCGTTGAAGTCCGATAAGTAGTTTTTGAAATTTGCGTGTTCAAAGAACCTCGACTTTCTTTCATGCTATTTATAGAAGTGAAAGATTTGGTTTATTAGTTAAATTTTAAAACGTTTTTGGGAAAATTATTTCCAGAAAATGTTAAGTGAGTTATAAAGCGCTACATATTTCTGAAAGTATTTTCTAAAAAAAAAGAATTGAATTTTGAAAAATGTGTTTATCCTTGTTTCAAATGAGAAACAGAGGGATGAATCGGTTTTCACAATTACTCTTAGGCAGAAGTAGAATAAACTATTCAATTTGTGGTATCTTTTTGGTTTTTATTCAAGTATTAACGTTCCCGAACCGAACCGAAAAAATCGTCGGGTTTGATATTGTTCTCATTTGGCAAACTTACACTAAGGAAAATACTGTATAGTAAAACTAAATACTTTATATTTGATTATAGTTACTTGAATGTCCACATCTAAGTAGATATGTATATGTAAGGGTACATACCCAGAACGGCATAGCTCAACCAATTACCTCAAATAAAATTAATTTATTTCTACTTATGGGGCAACTAACTTCAAATTGATGTATAATCACTTAGAAGCCCCATTGAGATAAACCAAACCTTTGATATTTACATATCTTTGCAAATAATTCAATATTAGTTAAAAAAATCATCTGACTTTGATGTGCTTTAAACCAGATGCCTTTTAAAGTTGTTGAAATCAAATGCAGAGCCAGACAATCGCCTTTCTGCTTGCAAACAATTCATTCTGAACATTTGAAAGCACATTTACATGTACGGCTGTGGCTGATCCTGAAGAGATGCTTGTTGTTACTTGTTAGGTTCCAGAAGGTCCGGGTTCGAGTTCCAACAGAGACTACATGTGAAAATGATAATAAAATTTTTTTTGTGTCTTGAAAATATGAAAAAGCCTGTGGAGTGCAGAACCAAAGCGTATTCAAACGAAATATATTGACTTTAAAGTGCCTTAAGCCAAATGCATTTTAAAGTAGTTGAAATCAAATGCATAGTCGGATAATTGACTGATGCCTAGGACAAAGCCGTGTTAAAGTCAACAGTTCGTTCCAAGGAAGAGAGTCAGATCTTCAACTAGTTGTGGTGGGAAAAACATCGAACATCGATATTCAAACTAGTTTCTTTCCGTACTGGGTGTTTATCGTGCAAATGCACTAATCGCGTGCTTCAAACTAAACATTTGGAAGCACATTTAGATGTCCGACTGTAGCTGAGTGTGAAAAGATGCTTGCCACAATTTTTTGATTTCCAGAGGGGCAGGGCTTGAATTCCATTGCAGGAAGCATGCAAACTAACTATACATATATATATTTTTTTGGCTTTTATCTTATTCACTTCACTGATGCTTTTTTAAAACGAACACTTCATTTTAATATGCGCGTAGTTGAATTGAATATTTACCACTATTCAGTACTTTCGTTTACGTTTATAGTAAGTTCAACTACGTTTCTGTACTCACAATGCTGGCAAGCAGACACTTTACAACAAATGAGGTATGACTTCTGTTTTATTAGAAAAGAGTCCTAGAAAAATTTTAAGCGTCCTACCATGCAACCAACAAGAAAACAAACATACATATTTTGGTAGGAAAACCCGGAACGGCTAACCTGGTCGTATTATCACACTGCATTAAAGGCCCTACACACGCATTGATTTATCGGCCAACCAGTTGACCAACCTACTTGACGAAATTCCCTACAAACGCACCAACCAGTTGGTCGATTTCATTTGAGTGAGAGTTTTTGAACTATGAACAACAAAACAGCATTGGCAAACTTTTAAGCTATGCTAGGAATGCTTTTAATTTATATGTATTTGGTATTTTTGCCGCCCCGTTACAATTGTACCCATTTTCACTAGTGAAAACACATGTTACCCTTCATGCGCCTTAAAAAAACAAAAATTAAATCGCATTTTAGGTTGCCAACTTATCTACACACATAGCAACAAGTTGACCAATCTGCCTCAAAAATCAAATATTTTTGATTTTTTTCTAACCTGACGAACAACTTGACTCAGGTTTGCCAACTTGCCTACACACGGCATATTTACCACCAACTTCTAGTGGTTGGCCAACTGGTTGGCCGATAAATCCATGCATGTGTAGGGCATTTTATACCAAATTGTGTCATTATTTATAATTATCTTTCTTTCTCTTTTAATAGCTTACCAACATAGACAAAAATTAACAACAGCTACAAATTTCTGCAAAAATGTCACTGCCTGAAGCTCCACGCGAGTCATACATTTCTTTCCGCAAGCTGGACATTGTATGTCAACGGGTTCCTCTAGCAAATGACCAACGTTTGAAGGCAACACCGGCATAACATTTTCCAGGGCAGCATCGTTGTTGTCAATTGTCACGATGACAGTTGACTGGGTGGTTGTCATTTTCGTCAGCTGTTGTGCAGCACCAACCAATTTATGTGTAGGCGGATGAGTGCGCGTGTGGAGGAGGTTTAGCAATTTTTTATAATGTTTTGCTCATAAAGCGATTAACATTTTTTTTAACATTTGTTTTTATTTTTATCTCAGCAAAAATGTTCACAACGCGACGTACACCGCTCAAGCAAATCGAAAACTTTGCTTCGAATGCCGTTAAAGCGAAGAGATCAACTGGCAAGAGAATTGCTAATCACTGCTGTTGCCATATGTATCGTTGCCGCTGAGATTTCTGCTATTGGCGGTAGTGCTGCTGCAGTCGTTGCCTTTTTAGTTGTGAACGTATTTGGCAATCAATGTTGCCGTTGTGCGACTAAAGGTGGAATTTGACCCTTTTAACGATAAAAAAAAAATGTCAACAGAACCATGCTATGTATTAAAAACTATTTTCTCCTGTAAGTACTAAAAAATTGCATCACTTAAAATTTTTAAAGAAAATGCAACTCTTCTCCTTGCAGCAACTTGATTTCTGTGTATGTTTGCAACCTTCTTTTGTTAAAAGTTTTTTTTTGCTATTTTCTTTTTAAATGAAACAGAGGAACATTCTAGCAGCGAAAGCGTTTTATAATAATACATGTAAACTTGATTTTGACTTTGCTTCTCAGATTTATCCTTTTACTAGTAAAGAAAACAAAAATAATATGGTGACCCTTTTGTCTTCAATGACCCTTTTTTTGCGACTTTCTGAAAATTCTCTACGGCAACACTGTTGGCAATAACAATAAGTAAGGTATGTGCTGTTAGTGGCGAGCTTATATTATTGTGGCGTATGTATGTATGTACAATAGGGTTGTCCAAAAATGCATGTTAAAAAGTAAAGCCTGAAATTTAATGGCCGCACCCCTTAGGATTGTTCTAAACCGAGAAAAACATTACCCCTGTTTTTTATTTTGAAATAAAAAAAAATTTAGAGGTCGCTGCGAGCGCTCCAAATTTTCCATGTACATATTTTATATGGGAAAAACCACTTTCGTAGAAGTCGTATATAATTCAAAATTAATCTTTTCGATCGCAAAACTTCGCTTCTCTTCAAAGGACTTCCAACAACAATACGCAATAGTTTATTTAACCATTTTCTATTATTAACTAGTTTTTATAGGACAGTTAAAAACCTCAAAAATTGCAATGGGGGACCCATTTGAAATAAAAGTTTGACATGCGTCTTCCGAAAAATCGTGCTTTTGAGTTGCGGCAGTATTTGTGCAGATATAATGATATTTATTTATATTAGGTTATCAAAGTTCCATACAATCAAACTTCGGTAATCCTTACAAAACAAAAATATTATAAATTGTGCTCAAAATAATTTGGCGGTAAAGTAAAAAGTTGAGTTCTTTCATAAAGAACAATATTTATCGTAAAACTTGTCACCAAGTAAAAGCCCGATATGTAAGTTTTCTTTTGTGAAAAGACTGACGGCAGTGGAAAATAACTTACTCGTGTTACGTTAGCTACCAAAATAGGTCAATTTATGGATGAGTTATTGAAGTTACCATGAATTTCGGCACATTTTTAATGCAGAAGCTGCCGAAGATTTAATTCGAACAACTGGTGTATCTTTCTGTTTGGTAATTTAAATTTAAGATCTCGAAAGTTTACGCTCATTTACTATGAAGGATATTTACTGTGAAAAGGGTGTCAGCTCAAATTTTACGACGAAGAAATTTTTGTTTAGAATTTATTTTAGAATTTTTTGTTTCAACGTACTCTGCCTCACGAATAGCACCGAGTTGAAAAAACATAATTTTTTCGTAAAGTACTCTAATGTACATTCATACACATACGAGAATATAATATGCGAATGTGTAATGTGTAAAAATTTTGTTTAGCAGGCTGAGAGCACTGAGCATCTAAAATACTCTTTGAACACTTAGATGAGAGTTTTGCGCTGATTTTGGCCACATTTTCAAATGTGTGACGTTTTTCGGGTGACCAAGAGCTATAGCATTGTCTGGGCTGAACATCTGGGCACAATAGCAACAATTTTGTGGTAAAGTATGTATACATACATACATATGCATATGCCCATAATCGACACCCACTTCGTAGAAATAGTGTCAATAATTCTAAATGCACGAGGGAATAGATGAAGAGATTAGCTATGGTTGAGTGACGTTATAAAATTTAGATTTTGAATTTTAATTAAGAAGAAAAAAACTGTTTTGCGTATCTACTTAAGCATTTTGACCTCATAAATATATATACTTAATTAACAGATACCTAGATTTATAAGCAAGTGTTATCATGATTTCCTACCTTATTTTCCCCAACGTTATAAAAATTTCCCGTATGTGAGCTAGAGATGGGCGCGGAACTAAATGTTCCATACCTATCCCAACCATTCAGACACCGGGTCCTGACATAAATCTATCATTAATGAAAACTCCAATGGCTTTAAAAATTATTTAATATACATTATGTACATTGTTCCCGAATATTCCACAGATCTGGCATCTTCTAGTTATTCGGTTTTGCTTTTCTCTTCGGGAAGATGTTTTTCATGCCTGGATCGAAAATTATCAAGGGCCTTCCCGATTCCGCCATACCGGCCATTTTTAAATTAGTACAGGAAATCCCGATATGTCGCGCCCATCTCTAATGTGAACACGCGTGACTGCTGGTAAGCCATTATCCATTTCAGCCCAGTCAAGTTAATTTAGTCTAGGAAAGCACTTATCGAAAGTAACCGATTACCTTCTCGTTTACGGAGTACATTACTTTAACATGTGCATGTCATTGGAGGTAATCGAATCGTTTTAACAGCTGTAGCTATGGCGCGTACGAACGACTCGTACTTCCACTCGGAGGCAGATTTGCCCATTGTGGTTGTCCTCAGTGAGTATGAGGAGGAGGCAAATCCTTCTAACCTAGTTAATTCATACTGTCAGTATTAAGTCTGTCAATCCACTTACTATTTTTACCTCCGCTGTCTCCCCCCCAGCTATTGAAAAAGCATGATCCCAAATGCTTGGGACGCCTTGTCTGTAGAGCTGGAAATTGACATGAGAAGTGGTGAATCGATTCCTCTTCATTCTCATCCCGAGAACTTCTGCAGACCGAGCCTGCTGGGTATACGCCATCATTGGAACATTGGTACTCTGTGATGACATCAGTGTCAGTGTCAGTAGCTACTCAGTACTACTCTTATCTCGGCCAAAGGGTCACAGTCGTCCCGATTAATCCAAATGTCATTGGTTACTGCTGTGGTGTATTCTTCAAAAAAATCGGGAGCAGTAGGGAGTTATCCGCTTCACCAATTTGTATTTCTGAGCCATGTCTAGCTACCTCATCGGATATTTCGTTCCTTTCTATATTGCTTTGTTCAATAACCCAGCATCGAGAAGTTTTGACGTGAATCAGTACAGCCCGCGTTGCACTACACTACTGAACTGCTTTCGACTTTCCCACACCGGATCCTAATGTGTTCAATGCCGCCTGGCTGTCAACAAATATAATGACGTTGCCTGACAGAGAATTACTCTCCTACACTACAATTATCAAGCAGGCGGTATGATTGCCTTATTTGAAGGTCCTTGGAGCGCAGACTCGAGCCGACCCCTTTTTCCATCTTTGAGCCATCGGTGTAAATGGAAATACCATCATTTACCGCCAGGAGGCCACCTTCCGAATCTTTCCGAGTCGGAGAGTGTATGGGAATCTTGAAACTAAAGTCCCAGAATGACGTGAGGTAATCAGTCTCGATATCGGTAGTCATACTCGTATCACTTTTTAGCGGTCGAAGTAGAAAAGGTAAAATTATCCTTCTATTACGGCTATAACTAGACTAAATTGAGTTTTAATTGTACATAATAACCAACACATCCATTTTTTTTGCATTATGAATAACGATTAACAATATATTTTAGTTGTTTTTATTAAGTTGGTGCCAGACTTTGCTTTCGAACAATTAGTAACAATAGCGACTGTATTCGTACTAATTATTCGCAAGCAAATAAACCAACAAATACCCCAATTTGGCAGCAAAAAAATTCACACGAATTTGTACGACTGATCTTGACCATCTTATATATAGAAATCTTAACCTCGTTTCATAGCTTTAAAATGACGTTAAGACGAAGTCTCTCCGATCAGCAGAACCTGAGATATAACGATTTGAAGAAGTACATGATTAGTCGGAATCATGAAAAAATGCAAACTTTGACAGATCATATCTCCGAAGAAAAAAAAGAAGAAGAAAATTCCTCGAACACGTGTTAGTTTATTTCATGTATAGAACCCACAAAAAAATCTGAAGCGAATCGGAGACATGACATCATTTTTTTTACGAAATCCGTCCGACTTAAAAAAGAATGGCTCATATCCGTTTTTTGGTTACATTTTGATTCAGAACGAATTTTCCTCTGCATCAAATACAGTATCTAGAATTAATTTATAAGCTAATGCCACACAGTGGGACGTCCGACGGCTGCGGCCAAAAGTACCCTGCAGCAAATCAAACTGGTTCAGAACTTGCGCTGAGCTAGCCTGAAAAGGGACGGTACTGGTTCTTCATCTATCCCAACTCAATGCTTGCAACTGTCTTTTTTNTCGGTTTACATTATCGTCCAGTAATTCTAGAAAAACAAACAAAATTTTCCAACTTGGAAGATAATAAAGAATTTCTCATTACGTCGCTCATCTCCTAACTAACTATTTGAGAATTTAATCTTTAGTTGTCCTAAGTATAATTTAGCTTGCATCCTAGGTCCTTTTCAAATATCCCTTTTAAAAGTAAGCACTCGAAAAATTTTGCACTCACAAAATTATGTAGAATTTCAAGGTAAACTGTTTTATACATTTCAAAAGATTTAAACAAATGTAAAGCAATGTTTGACCACAGATATATTAAAAAATTCATGATTGCAAATATGCATTTTTATCGAAAGTTCTTTTTGGCTTGGGTTAGCTGGATATACATATAGCTATGCATCTGCGTAACTACTTTTTCAGAATTCGCCAATCCGTTTTTACTACTTTTAGCCGCTGTAGTCCCATAGTGTGCCGGCAGCAGCAACAGCTGATTTCACAAATTTTGTTTTCTTCCTCCTTCTTCTTATTCACTTCGCCTTCTGTAGACTCATTACCAGCTAAAAATAGACCCGTGACAATGCGATCACTTATAAACGTACATATGTATGTACATACGAATGTATCTAGAATTCGCGAACAGATGAGTTTCCTAAAAAATGCTGCTCAGCAGAAAAGCAAGAGAAATGTAAAAACGAAAATCGGAAACAAACAAATTGAACTTGTTTCAAATTAATATATGTATTTTTAAGGGAAAATAA